TGAGGCCTCTCTGCCTCTGTTCCTGATATCTTGTTTATTTTCTCTCTCTAGAATGTCCTTCAGTATTCTCTGTAGGGTTGGATTGGTGGTTGCGAATTCCCCCAGTTCCTCTTTGTGTTGGAGGCATCTTGTTTCTCTACTAATTTCTAAAGACAGTTTTTCAGGGTACATCAATCTGGGCTGGAAGTTACTTTCTTTCAGGGCTTGGAATACTTCAAGCTTTTCTTGATTTGATGGTCTGCGTTGAGAAGTGTGCTGTGATTTTGATGAGTTTTCCTTTATAGGTGATCTATTTCTTTTCTCTGAAAGCTTTTAATATTCTGTTCTTGTGATGAATTTCTGGGATCTTTATTATTTTGTGTCCGAGTGTAGCTATGTTTTGGTTGTAGGTGGCTGGAGTTCGTATGCCTCATACATTTGAATATCTTTTCCTTTGACCATGCTTGCGAAGTTTTCCTTAATTATTTCTGTGAATAGCCTTTGTATTTCCTTTGTTTTTACCCCTCCCTTCTTCATTCATAGTTTTATTCTTACGTTTTAGCCCCTCTTGTCATCTAGCCTTTGTATTGTTAATTCCTGTTTCCTTGTTATTTTTAAGAGATCTTTCCTTTCAAAATCACACATTGCAAACCTGTCTTCAAATTTTGATTGTCCTTAGTTTCTTAAGTTTTGCCAGCTTTCAATGGAGTTTTTAATTTCCTGGTAATCTCTTTGAATCTGCTTCATGTATTCTAGGTTTTCTTTATATTCTTCATCGAATGTTTCTTTCATTTTTTTGTGTTCCTCCATTCTTCCATCTGTGTCTTCTTCTGAGGTGCTAGCATTTCTTTTATTAATCTACTTATATCTTGCTTTACTTGAATTAATATTTCATTTTGAGCTTGTTTATGAGGTCCCGAAGATAAACTCTTTATGTCCACTGATGCCGTGTCTGATATTGCATGCTTGCTGCCCTCAATCTCTTGTATTTACCTCTCCTGGATCAATTATCTCAGGGTTGGGGACCTGGGGCTTTTTCTTACCGATTTCTCTTGTCATGTTTTTGGTTTTTTCCATACGGGTGTATAGTGGAGATCCCAGCTGCTTTCCTTGTTGGTTATGGTTCTTCTGAAGTGCGCTGGCTGGGGATTTCTGCCCTCTCCAGTTTGCTGTTGGTCATTGAGGTACAAGCAGGGGTGGCATATGCTGGCCCCTCTCCTCCAAGCCAGTCAGCTTGTGGGGCCCTTCACCATGTTAGTGTGTGCCACGTGTACTGAATTGGTTTGAAACAACTTATTGGGGCGTGACCCAGGCCAAGCAGATCCCACCAATCTGCTCTGGAGAGGGGGCAACCAAATGAAGTCACTGCTGTTCCTTTTTCTTGCCCATCCTGCCCAGTTCCAACATGTTATCCAGTTGGTCTTCCCTTTCCCATGAGAGGGTCTTATTCCTTGCACTCACCACAAGTTAATGCAGGTCTCCACCCTGGCTCTGTTCTCCATTGGGCTTTTCAATCTCTGACTTAAGCGCGACCGCAGTTCCAGCAAGTCGCAGCGAGTCGCAGCAGCGCAAGTTTGGACACCTCTGGCAAGTCGCGGTGGTGCGAGTTCGGGAGCTCTGGTGAGAATGCCACGGCTGCTAATCTTAGCTGCTCCAATGGTAGCCCTGGGACTGCGTGTTTGACTAGCTCTTTTCCCTTTAGTTTCTTCCTGGTCTAGAGGGTCTGTCTTCCTCTGTCTGGACCGCTCCAGGATGTTTTATTCTGGCATCTGAGTTGTCTCTCTCAGGGAGCCTCTGTATGCTGCTGCTTACCGATCCGCCATCTTCGTGACATTAGGTCTTTGAATTCTAATTCTTTTACAGTTTTTTTTTTGTTTCAGTATAGTCTTGGAAACTCAAGTCAACTCAAAGGATATTTATAATATCTCATTATTTGTTTGCAAAATATATCTGAGTGATGCATAGCAGAAGTTTGTTTCTGGAAATTTGACTGACTTTTAGTATCCTTCTTAAATTTTGAGTGCTTGGTACACTGCTGTACCTGATTTTATAGTGTTGGTAAAGGGAACTATAGTTTGCAAAATAATTTTATATGATAGTATATTTTTTCTTTCATTTTATCTTAATAATAGCACCAAAAAGCTAATTGCTATTATTGTGATTATTCCTTTACAAAATTGTGACTTTGTTGAGATCATTTAGCTACTGTGTGGTAGAACTAAGATTAAAAACCTAGATCTCATTCTAGATTTACTATATCATGTTTCTTGGGAAGCTAAGAAATTATTTTATATATCCTTGGATTAGTACTTGGTGTGCCTAGCACGAACAAAAACTGTGATCTGAATGTGTTTTCATTCTGTTTAGAAGCTACTGTTTTCTATGCACCAGGGCTCATTTTATGCTGGACTTTGCTTCTGTATAAGCTTCACTCTGATGCCTTTGCTCTCTAACCTTTCCCAGTGCCCATATTTGTGTACACGCACATGCAAACACACACAAACACATGCAAACACACACAAACACATGCAAACACACACATGCAAACCCCGCCCCACCCATACACACGTAGCCAACTGCCTTAGAATCGTGTGCTGTTCAATCTAAGTTTGAAGTACCCTTTACTGATGAACAACGTGGATAATTTTAACTATAATTAGCATGGATGTTTTTGGTTCCTCATAAATGTCTGGTACCAATTTCACTTGACTGTACATTCAATTGCAAGTAGGCTATTTTGAACTTAATTTCCAGAGCTCAATTTATGAGCATAGATTCTTTGTAACCAGACTAGAACTAGACCAGTCCCTAGGGTCTCAGAGAATAAACTCAATTTTATTTGTTTTGTGGCAAATTTTGTGCTCTCATGAATGCAGTCAGCATGTGAGGCAGAAAAGACTTCTTTTGCAAAATCTCTTGCATCTAGTTTATATTTAATACCTGCATAAAAACAAATGTGAAAAAATAAGGCTTCTGTGTATTTTTCTGTACATTTTATAAGTGCTTATGCCACATTTTGAGCAAACGGCAAATAAATATTTTTCGGTTTCATGTTTTGAAATGCTGACTGGATAAAGATTACATGTGACAAGTTATTTATAGCTTTATATATAGTAGATTCTCTGTTGGAATCGTAGGAAGGAAAAAGATATGATAATTGCTTTGTGTAGTTCACAGAATGAAATCGCAAACGGAGATGTTTTGAATCTAGTTTGTACTATAACCATTTCCAGGAAACCATATTTAAACAGCTGTGGTTATCATGAAGTATACAACATGTCAACTATGTCCCAATTCACATCAGTAAAAACCTTCCGCCACTTTATTCCCTATACCTAGCCTCCATCAGATAATGCCAAATAAACTATGTCGAGTGCACATATTAATATATATCAAATGTACCAAATGTCTTCCTGGCTGCATTTTCAGTAGTGTTTATCTGTGGTCATGCAGGTTATAACTCTGAATTTTTATTAGGAAAAGTAATTTGAAAATTTGTAATATTCCTGATTTAGATTCACCAGCTGTGCCACAGCCATGGAAAATAACTCAAGTACAACTCTGATACAGTATATAAGAGTGCAATAGTCAAATTGCTTTTGCTTCATGTTTATTTTGCATCTGTTATTATAAGGTTTAGAGTCACATACAGTAATTAGTAATCTAACTTATGTATCACTAGTTTGGTGAACTGCTTTGTGAATTTTATGCTTTCTCATCAAATTAGAATAATGAATATTAATATTTAATCTTGGGAATCATGAAAATGATTCTTTACAAAGTGAATCTTGAAGATTACTTTAGCAGCAAAAATATATTTATAATTTTGCCTTTGTTAAAACAGCAAAAATGAACTAATTATATAAATTATTCCATTTAGTTACCAGATAAGTTAGCACCGATACAAACTGACTTTAAAGTTTATAGTTGGAAGAAATACTGATTTAGCAGAGGGATAAAGTAAAAATGATGAGCATCTCACTGTAGATGTATATCTAGTATTATACACACATTTCTTGTATGTGCTACAGGATGTTATATACAAGTTTCTAGTGAATCTTGTGCATAAACTTGTGAGATTTGCTGGTTCAGACCAATTCCTAGATGTAGATATAAGCATTATATCTACATATAAATACTGTTTTGTTATAACCGTATTGTAATTATCACTTTAGGTCTGATATATTTTACTTGTGACTGTTTGGAAGTTTGATTTCAATTGATAAGTAAGCTACTGCATTGGCAGTGACAGTTGGTTGTTCTCACTTTTCCATATAATCTATCCCATAACACAGATTTTCTCTAAGGAATAGAAACACTTTTTTTTTTTTTTTGGTATTGGGGATTGAACTCACGATCTTGTGCTTGCCAAGCAGGCACTTAGGCCACTGAACTAAGTCCCCTGCTTCAGAAACACATTTTTACTTATGTTGAATTTATAGTTTTGAATAACTTGTTTTTCTGCTGTCTTCATGTTCCAGGAGAGAGACTGTGTAAATGGAAAATACTTCAGTGGCATTTACTTTGAAAGAAATTTCAAAATTTTGAGTTTACCTGAAAATGTTTTTAAAAAGCAATAGCTGATAAGTAATGAAAACTAGAAAGTTTGGCTAAGTTTACTTCAACCAACATATAGATATTGGTAGGTTTAAAGTATCCTGCCTTGTCACAAGAAAGGTTTTTTTTTTTTTTTGGTACTGGGGATTGAACTGACGACCTCGTGCTTGCAAGGCAGGCACTTATGTCACTAAGCTAAATCCCTGGCCCATCACACGAAAGTTTTAATTGTGACACAAATGTGATAACTATTTCTGGAGCTTCTAAGCTATTAACTGAATGAGATGAATCCGTACCTAACTGTAACACAGAGCAGACAACAGGATGTATTGTGGGTAGCACAAACAGAGTGAAGTGGCACCTGAGCTAGATGCTAATCCTTTTCCCCTGGGAGGATCTGGGAAGTTTTCAGGGAGTAGGTAGGGTTTGAATAGAGCTTAATTTATTGCTTTCATTCATTCTAGACTGTCTTCTGAAGATTGATGTCTATTTCCTTGAGTTCTTTAATTTTGTTGCCAATTTGGATAGACATGGCTCATATCCACCAGGGAGGTCCAGATGAAAAAGAAAAGACCACAGCACTGAAAGGTACATACTTAATTTGTTTTTTCAAGTAATTTTCATTGTGCCTAGAGAAGATGTAGGAGTATTTAGGTGACTATATTCATTTTGATTTGAAAGTATGAGTACCTAAGCTATTTGTAATTATTTGCATCCCTCACATGTATTACAGTATCAGATGTCATATATACTTCGAAAATAAATAGTAGACTCCTGTACTTTTATAGCTATAAGAACTCTTGGTGCTTTCTTATTCAAGGTCATGTGTTTAATGGTAAAACTAACTTAAGTTTTTTGAATCAAGATTAGTGCCCTTACCATACCTTTGTTGATTGGACTGTCATACTGGGTTAGGGTAATGATCTGACTGTCCCTGTTGCCTGTCTTTGTGACATTGATACTAGGGTTGCTTTATGACAGGGCCATGTTAGTGCTTCACAAGGAACCTTCCCAATGTTAGGGAACCTTTGAGTTACAAAGATTTTATTAAAAAATTTGCTATATATTATAATTTTACTATTAAAATAAGTATCAATTGTTAATCTGTAAAGTTTCTTCATTGTAATATATTTAGTCTGTCTAATAACTTATCCAAGATCAAATTATCTTCCCTTTGTGAAGTCTTAAAGTTACTTCATTTGGTTGTAGAAAATGTTTTACAGGTCTTCTGAATGTTCATATGCCAATTACGGTAGTGTATTTTGTACAGCTTTGCCAGAAAGCAACAGACTGGGTATTTTATAATAAACAGCAATTTATTGACTCACAATTCTGGAGGCTGTAAACTCCATTATTAATGTGCTGGCATCTGCAGGGGCTTTTGTGCTGTACCATCCTGTGATTGAAGGTAGAATGACCAAGAAACAAAAAGGGGACTACATAGGTGCTGGGGATTTAGTTCAGCAGCATAAGCTTCTGGCTGGCGAGCATGAAGTGCTGAGTTTGATCCAAGGAACCAAAAAAAAAAAAAAAAAAAAAAGTGAAGGACCACATTTACCCTTTTATAACAGCAGCAGTCCCACCCGTAGGGGTGGATCATTTATGGTGCAGTCATGTTGTAAAGGGCACCAATTCTTACAGGGGCAATTAAAACCATAAATTTTGAAAAGTACTGTTGTAGTCACTTTCATTTTCATTGGGACAAAATACCTGACACTCATAACTGAAAGGAGGACAGTTTTACTTGGGCTCAGTGTTTCTGGTCCATGGTCTTTGGCACCAAGGCACAAATGGCATGGTAGGCAGGCTAGGGCAGGGGAAAAACTTCTTACATTGTGGTGGCTGGGACCCTCAGAGAGAAGGGTGGAGCCAGAGGCTAAGATAGGCCCTTCCTGGTCATACCTGTAGTGACTCACCTAACAGCAAGTCAGGTATGGTGCCTTCATAATCCACTTGCCTTTCAGACACATGAGGTTTTTGGGAGAACATCACAGATCTAAAATATAACAGGGATGTCAGGTAAATGAAATTATAATGTATGTGACTTTCGTCCAAGGTGTTGCAAGTGTGAGCTGTTCTTATTGATAAGTAATATTTCCTTGGATGGATGTACCTGTTTGTTTAACCATGTGCATTCATGCATAAGTTTCTATGTGAATTGAAGTTTTCATATCTTAGGTTAAAGGCCCAAGAATCTGATTGCTTGGTCACATAGTAAGTGAAAAAGACTTTTTTCATCTTTGAGTTACTCTTTTCATCTTTGTCAAAAAGTCAATTGAGTATGTTTAGGGAGATCTATTGGGGTTCTCTATTTCTATCTCTTTCTCTCTGTTTCTTTTTCTTTCTTTCCTATACTAGGGATCAAACTCACTACCTTGCACTTGCCAGGCAGGTGCTTATGCCACTGAGCTAAATTCCTTGGCCTGTGCTGTGGATCTAAGTGTCTACCATATTCTTTACTTACAGTGGCTATGTACTGTAGTAAGTTAACACTGAGCAGAATTATTCTTCCCACTGTATTATTTTTTAATATTGTCTAGCTATTCTAGGTCTTTTAACTTTGTGTGTATATTTAGAATAACTTTCTCCATATCTTCAAAAATTTTACTCAGATTTTGATAGGAATTGTATTTAGACCTATAGCTAAATTTGTGAAGCTGATAAAATTTCTTTATCTAGCCTTCAGTCTATGTACATTGTATGTCTTTTGTTTATTTAGACCCTTGATTTCTTTCATCAGCATTTTGTAATTTTTTTCAACAATAAATCCTATACAGATGTGTGTGTATATATATATAGTAACATATATAGCCTTAAGTGTTGTACGTTTTTGTAATAATTGTAAATGGTGCTATTTTTTTAAAATGTATTTTCCCATGAATATTAAATGTTTATGGATATAATTACCAACTTGTTCTAGGAGTCATTTTGATAGATTTGTTCAGATTTTCTATATGGACAGGAATGTCATTTGTACATTGTGCAGTACTGTTTCTTCTCATTTGATTTTATACCTTTATTTCCCTTTTTGACTGTTGTATTTAGTATAGCTTTTAATACCATGTTGACTAAAAATAGTGAGAACTGATATTCCTTGTTATTCCTGACCTTCAGGGGAAAGAATTGTCTTTTTCTATTAGGTTATTATGTTTTTTAAGATATTCTTTATCAAATTGAAGAAATCCCTTTATTCCTTGTTGGTTGGAAGTTTTTAATTGTGAGTGAGTTGTCAAATGCTTTTTCCAGACCGACTGATTATCATGTTTTGTTTTGTTTTAGTCTAGTGTGGTGTACTACATTTTGATTTTTTTTTTTTTTTTTTTGGTACTGGGAATTGAACTCACAACCTTGCACTTGCCAGGCAGGCACTTATGCTGCTGAGCTAAATCCCCAGCCCCATACATTTTGATTTTTTAGTGAATCCTGTTTAGTTTGACTTATACTTCTTCTTTTTTTTTTTTTTTTTGGTACTGGGGATCAAACTCATGACCTAGCACTTGCGAAGTAGGAGCTTATGCTGCTGAGCTAAATCACAGTCTTGACTTATACTTCTTTTATATATTGCTTGTTCTGGAAATTTTTTGCTGAGGTTTTGTATTGAGATTAGTAAGAGATATTGAGGTGCAATTTTTTGTGTGTGTTGTCTTGTGTCTTTGTCTAGGATCGTTGTCAGGATAGCTGCCCTTTTAACACGATTTAAAAAATCTACTTTTTTTTTTCCTGGAATATATTGTATAAAATTGGTGCTAACTTTTAAAAAAAATATCTGGTAGATTTCTCCAGTGAAACTCTGATCTCAAAATTTATTTTTGGTACAATTTTAAAAGTTTTAAGACTTTATGTTTTTTATTTTATGCTGGATGAGTTTTGGTAACTTAGAGTTTTTATGGATTTTATTTTACCTAATTAGTTGTATTTATGTGCATATTTGTTGGTATTACTGCTTTTATTTTCTTAATGGCAATACAGTCGTGATAGCTCTTGTTTCATCAAAGAGATTAAACAATGAGAAATAAATACTGTTATTTAGCACCATTTTTGGTAACGTATTTCTGATCTAGATATAAGAAATGAAGACAGGTACAAAGAGAAACTATTATTTTTAGAAATTCCACAGCTTCGGGATATAAAGTTATAATGCTGTTTTTCCCTGTAAGAAATTTAAAAAAAAAAAAAATCCTAAGGATCTTAAAGATACCATAATCCTAGATTTCATCTAGTGCTCCATTTCACTTGTAAATTGAATCTGTGCTTTTCCATTACAGGCTTTTCATCCTCAGGGAAGCACTTTAAATGGGTAGCATATCTGTAAATTTCAAACACATGTAAATGTGGTTTGCATTCTAACCTAACCCACCAGATGGGTAGTCTGATGGGTAGTGGGGTTATTCATCCTAGCTCAGCCATCTTGATGACACCCCAAGACCACATAAAAATCTCCAACTACAGAACATAATACATCCTGCTTTATGAAAGCCCATACTGCTTTCTGAGAGTGGACTGCTTTCTTCATAGTGAACTTTCCTATGCCTCTCAGTGAGCATCCTGAAAATCTTTTCAGTGACCGGTATCAGTGAACTTACAAACAAATCCATGGACTGGGTGAATTGAGGTCTGTCTCTCTATCTCTTCTCTTTGAGGGGCCTTGTTGGACTGTATCTGGTGACATTTCTCTGCTTGTGTACATTCACATTCTGTTTAATGTAACTTGGTTATATATGAAGACCTTCCTTGTTGTACAGGCTGAGGGTGTGGTGGCAATACATTCTCTTAGCTTTTGTATGTCAGAGAAAACTTTTATTTCTCCTTGTTTTTAAAAGTGCTTTTGTTTGTTGTAGAAGTCTAAGTTTTTCTTCCTTTTCCCCTTCTCTTTTTCTTCTTCCTCCTCCTCCTTCTTTTTGTTAGTTTAAAAATGATACTCCATTTTCTTCAGGTTTTTGTTTCAGAAGTATTCTGTCAAGCTTATCTTTGTTTTTAGTTTCTGATCATGTACTTTTCTGTCTGCTTCTAAAACTCTTAATCATTTGTTTTCAGAAATTTACCTATGAGGTGTGTCTGTATCATTGTCTTAGTCTTTTTTTGCTCTGATTTGAGATCTTATAGTTTTTATCATATTAGGAAAAATATTAAATTTCTTTCTTTTAATTTCCAGTGCCCTTTCTGACATTGATTTTTAAAAATGTTTTAATCTTAACCCATTTATATTATTTTAGAGCACTTAACGTTGCCTCTGTCATTAAATTCTTATTTTATTTTTGAAATTATAAATTTTTCCCTCTGGTCTTTATTTTGTATAATTCTGTTGTTAGATAGCACTGTCCAAATCAAAGTTTTTTTTTAATCTTGTGTTTCAGTAGACACAATTTTGGCTATCTTTTGTGCAGCTTCTGAAAACTCTTATCTCACATACCCTATCCTATTTTCTATTTTGAAGAGAGTGGAAAGAATCTAGTTCCCGTTCTAGATTGGCCAGATGTACATACTAGTAATGACTGAAATTCCCACATAGTGGGGTCAGAGGTTTAGCTCAGTGGCACAAGCACCTACCTGACAAGCATGAGGTTAAGAGTTTGATCCCCAGTACCAAA